AAAACACCCCAGGAAAGCAATAACTACCCAGTGCATCCGCCTGCACTGTGCAGAGTGAGCACCGATATCAAATGACTTAAAATAACCAAAAGCACCATTAAAAATCTCTGATTCAGGCAAGGCTGCCTGGCATCGTCATCACTTATTTATTTCAGGAGGCTGATAAATAACTATGACTTAAAAGTCAAATTTTAGCTACCTTTGCTGTAGAAAACAGTGACTAACATTATCAGCTTGCTGAGCATCTCTGTCCCACTTGTTCTGGATGAAAACCGTATCCAGGTCAGGATGAAAAGAAGCAGCTTTCAGGTGTTTTTATTAAATAAGCCTAAACAAGAGTTGCCATGTCTGTGCTCAAAGTGACTTTGAAGAGCAGACTATTTGCTGGCTGTGAGCTTGCCCATCATCCCAGCTCCTGGGGTGGTTTGTGTGCAAGATCCTTGGAGAGCAGAGACGGAGAGATGAAACACTCCTGACCGTGACTCAACACAACACCGGGAATTTCACGCAACCAGACTGTGGCCCTTCTTACACCTCCAAAGAACAAGGGTAGGAAAGAAAGCTACAAGGAGAGGGATGGTTATGGGGGACTGCTTGTTTAATTCAGAAGACAGACTTCTCCTTGCCTTCTTACACATCTCATTTCATTATTTTGGTGAAAAACCCTTTTCCCCGGATTAAGCAGGATGGCTCTCAAGTCCCTCACCTGCCCCTCTAGCCATGTCCAATCCTTCCCTCATTACTGTCCATTATGCCAGTAATTAAAAATGACACGTGTGGTAACTCTGGGATTTTGGGAGTTTTTTTTCCCCACCTCATTTTGATTTTTTTGTTTTAGTACTGAATTTTTCCACAAATTTAAACCTGAGGCAAGAAGTATTACTGTGCTTGGCCTCTTCGGAATCAGTCCCAAAAAAGGGAATGCTAAGAAGTGAGAATAGGGTTTCTCCAAATATTATTTCAAGGAAACCAACTAAACCAGCTTTGTGACAGGGCTGCACACCCAGAGGTTTTTGTAAGCTTCTCTCCCAGGTGACAAAACCACTCCCAAAAACTTAAACAAGCCAAGTCAGAGCAAGACACAGTGTTTCCTTCACGTCCAAGTCCTTTCCATCAGTTTCCAGCACCCTGGAAGTACGAGGTGCTTGTGACAGATGACACACCTACCTGTCACCTGGAGGACGAACACCTTCCCAACCTCAAACTGAGCTGCCACTCTCCCTGTTCCCTGCGTGCACAGCCACAGCCTGCTGGCACTGCCCTCCAGCATCCTCAGAAACGATGGAGCTCTGCAGAAAGTCACAAAGCTCCCAACATGGGATTGGAAAAGGGGAAGGAGGGCAGGAAACAGAGGCAGAGTGGGGGCGATGTAGGAGTCAGGATCATTGCTGGAAGCATCTGCCAAGGAAAATCTTCACTCGGTCACAGTCTGCAATGTTGAGGGAGTGTTCACACAGAGCTATTTGGCTTCTCAGACAAAACCCAACACTAGTCTAAGGATCCTTCTCCCAATTGGAAAAAAAAAAGAAAGAAGGTTCCTGCCAGTCTCCACCAAACCAATCCAAGCCGGCATTTGCCAAGGGCTGTCCAAACCACAGCCCGGAACTGCAGAGGGTGTCCTTTATCCGACCATTCCTTCTTCTATTTCGGTCCCCCTCAGCAGGTTCCGAGGATCTCTTTAGGTCTCACCTCTGACCCACTCTGCTTCCCTAGACCCCACCTTGGATGCCACGGGGTTTCCTCGCTGACTTGGGAGTTGATTTTTTTAGCACGAGGCTACGAGACGTTGTGTAGGATACCAGAATGACAGACACCTTCCAGGCACCATCCCCGTCTCCCAGTACCCGATATCCCGCAGTCACCAGCCCGCTCTCCCGACGCCCGACATCCCCGCGGCCCCATCCCCGCCTCCCGGCGCCCGATATCCCACGGGCACCACGCCGCTCCCCCAACGTCCGGGCCCCGCACTCACCTTCTCGCAGAGGCTGCGGACCTGGCTCTCGCTCAGCTGCCGGCACTCGTTCAGCTGCTCGATCCACTGGTCGAGCTCCTTGGCGAAGCCCTTCTCCTCCATGGCGGGCTGCGGGCGGGCCCCGCGCGGCCCGGGCCCGCCTCTGGGTGGCGGCGGCGGCGGCCGGGGACGCGCGGCCCGCTCGGCTCGGCTGCGCTCCGCGTAATGGCGGCGCCCCCGCCTGCCGCCGCTGCTCCTGCTGCTGCTGCTGCTGCGCACTTCCGGACACGCCCACGCCGCGTGCCAGGGCGGGCGCGCGACCGCTTCCGGCGCGCCGCGTCCCCACTCGGGGCCGCGCCCCGCGCGCTCCCCCGCGAGGCCGCGCCCCCAACGCCAGCCCCGCCCCGCTCCTCGGAGCCACGCCCGCCTCGTCGAAGCCACGCCCACATCGCCCCGCCCCTCCCTCCCCTGCCGGCTCCCGCCCTTCCGAACGCCTTGGAGAAACCCGTGCCGTTCCGAGGAAAGATGGATAAAACGCTCCGCTCTCTCTAAGGAAAAAGCATGAATAAAATCACAAGCTTCTGCGCCCCGCTGTGGGTGTCGAGTGCCAAGCGCTGCCGGCAGGGCAGTTGTTCCCTTTGGGAATGTATGAAAATCCCTCTCATTAAGTGTGTTACTAATTCCCTTCACTGTATTCCTGTGATGTACCATTGGGCACGCGTACCATGATGTTCCAAACGCAGCACGTGATTAACGTGCAATAAGCAATAAAAATTACTATGTTTTCTTACAGTCTGGTACTTGATCCATCTCGCTCTCAGCCCTAAATTGTGACTGACCTGCACAAATTTCTACCCACTCTTCTTCATTTATCTGCTGCAATTTTTCACTTGCTTTACTGTCTCCTCTGTACCAAAACGGAATAGTAATATCGTGATAATGATGTAATCATTCACTGCTACAGTCTGGAACACTTAGCAAAGTGAAAAAGAGCATGCATATATATATATATATATATATATATATATATATATATATATATATATATATAAAAAACACCCAATTTTGTAGCTACTCTTCTACATATCCATCATTTGCCATTCCAGTTCCCAGGAAAGACATTTGCCAGGAACCATCCACACACCCATGGATGTTTTATTTGCTGATTTGTTTCCAGAAGATTATTTTTAACCATATTGCCCATGCTTGTGACACTGCAGTAGAGAGTGGCCCTGGGATAAGGAGAATCCTCCAGCATGGCAGTGGACAATAAATCTTCCTACCCCTACAGCTTCCTGAGCCACTGGCTCTGGCCTCTGAATTTTGGACTCCCACCTCCATGTCCAGAAATGAGATTTGCTTGTGGTGCTGGGTTTGTTCTCTCTCTTCTTTTGTCATAATTTTCCCAGAGATCTCTCCTGCAACGGCCCCAAGGCCCTGGTGCTTTCCAGCTTTTAGTGTGTGGATTTTCCACCACCTTCTCTAAAATCTCACCATCTCTGTGCTAGAACCTTCTAAAACGGCAATGCTGGTGAAAGCGGCATAAAAGGCCACGAAAAAATAAATAAATGCTGGTTGTGTAACATTAAATCCCTCACGGGGTACCTTGCTTTCTTATTTTTGTGATTTTCCCTCTGCAACTTGGTCTTTTAGGGTGAGATACAAAATGCAAGAGAAACAAAGTCAGAAAATAATTACCCACAGCCATCACCATTGCCTAGGCTTAGACCCTGCTCCCCAAAGAATGCTGGATTCCTAAGGGTACTCCTGTGTTTTAGAGAGGAAAAAAACCCCACCCTACAGTGAACAGATAAAGTAAATCAGTAAAGTTTTTCCTTCTTCCAGCAGCTGAGGGTGCACAAATCCCGGGGAAGCTGCTCTGGGGCACCTGACCCCCTGGGAGCGTGCAGGGGTACCAAGTTCCACAAGGAGGGGGATCCCTAAAACACATTTTGGGATGCAGACACCACATTTTGGCTGAGGATGGCAGGCAGACATACCTGGCGGGTCCCTCCACGAAGCCTGGCTTCTTGTTCCCAGCATCTTCCCACAGCATTCATCTCTGTCCCTCCTTCCCGTGCTGGAGTCCATCACCATGGGCAGGGCTGCTTGCACTGCCAGAAGCAGCAGGAAACATCTACAAAACCTTGATAAACTGGGAAAAAAAAGCTGGAGAGAGGTCAGAGGGGATGAAAGGCAAAGAGGAGGGACAGTGCCAGGAGAAGGGGGATAAATGGACTCTGTGGCCCTAACGTATGCACAGGGATGGTTTCCGAAAGGAAGGAGGGTGACAGCACAAACCCTAGCATGGATCCACTTGAAATGTTCCTCTCAGATACAGCTATGTCTTTTATAGGGAATATAAAATGTCCTCCTGCAGCAGCCTGCAACAATTTTAATCCCAAAATAGCTTTTTTGGGGGGAAGGAGGGGGAGGAACCTCAAAAACCTGCGAGTCTTGCAACAGGTTTTGTTCGCAAACGCAGGCAAATCTGGAATATTTGCTTACTCCTTTTATTGAACCTGCTGGCTGATTTGATTACTTCCCTGGAAACGCATGTGCAAATCAGTTTTCCAGCCGTTTGAGGGCACTGCCTTCCGCCGAGACGTCTCCGGTGACTGATGCCAACTCCTTGCTAATGCAATGTGCAGGAAGAGCCGGCGCTGGATGCCGACGCCGATGCCCAGAGCTTTCGGCCGCTCGCAGCCATAAATCCCTTCATTCCCAGATGCAAAACGCTGGCTGCCGTCGGAAATGCCTCACCCACAGAAAAATTCAATCTCTTAAATTAGGCAGGGCTGAAGCCACGCACTCACCCGGATAGAAGGATCTGATGATGGAAGGCTGGGAGGAAAAAAAAGGGCATCAAATTGAAAAGCCCCAGGGAGATGAATGGGAGATAACGGAGAGAGAAACATTTACAGCCTGAAATGCTTCCTCCTCCCAGGCAGATTTCCTTCTCTCCTCCGTGGGAGGCATCCAAAGGGGAGCCACAGTGCAGGCACCCCAGAGGAGGGATAAATCCGAGTGTAAGAATCCGAGCAGACAGTTAAGACTACACAAGTAAGCAAATTTATTCGAAGACAGAACAAATATCGTGGCAAACAACAATATGCAAATTCAGTTGAGAACAGGGGTAAATATCAGACTTTGTTTTCAAATCGATATAAAATATAGTCAGATTTTCTTTTGTCCAAAAAGCAGCTCGCGTTGGGGTGGGGGAGTTGGGAGGGGATGGCCCTGTTCATGCCATCCGAGGTGAGTGTCACCTGCAAAACCTCAGGCTCAGGAGGCCAGCAGAGATGAGTGATGCCAGGAGGAGACGGAGATGCCTTTGGGACCCCAATTTTCTGCCTCCATTCTCCTTAAAAGCCAATTTTTGGCACAGAGAAAGGGATGGGTTCATCCCCTCCGAGACCCTCAGTGCCCACCTACCTACATACAGATGGGGCAGTCCCAGGGATCCCGGCTGCTTTTTAGGGTTGGGCATCTTTTCAGGCACCTGCACCTCCTCTTCCTCGCTGGCTCCTGATGGATCAATCTCCTCTGAGCCTGCAAAGCCAGCGAGGCAGCAGCTCACCTGGGATGCCAAAGGAGTGAACAGGATGAAATCCCCTCCCGGACCGAAGGTGCTGGCGCGCTGCTTTCTAGAAAAGCCATCCCAAATAAAAGCAGACATAGAAAACATTAGATTGTCAATGAGGCTTTGAAACAAATTCAAGTTTATCCTTAATTTTTCTCGTGTGTGTGTGTGTGTGTGTGTGAGACTTCATACAAACAGACAAGAAAGACGTGGTGAACTTCAAGCTCCGGATCGGCATGTGGTCAGTTAGTGTCCGCAGAAGCACCATCGGATACGGAAGAGTTTAGCACCAGAGAGTTTGGAGGACCTAACTGAGAACATGCATCCTTTGGAAAACATGGGGGTGGGTTGGGAATAGGCAGTGGGGAGACATGGAACAGTCCATTAGAAACAATACAAGGCAATTCATGAGTTTTCATACAGTACAATACAGTCACTGATCAATTAACCCTTTCAGTACAGTACATGACAAGTAACACTTTGCACCCTGTTAACACTAGGAAAGGAGGGGTTTGGGCTGGAGGGGGGTGGCTGGGGGGTTATCCCTTCTGCCATTGAATTTCAGGGACTGTGCCTGTCCCACCCCAGCTTGGACATCCCGGCCCCAGCCTGGTTCCCGGGGGGATGCAGTGGTGGAATGTGATGCCACCAGTCCATCCACCCGCAGCGAGGTCTGCACCCAAATCAGAGAATCCCAGAATTCCAGGATGGTTTGCTTTGGAAGGGACCTTATAGATCATCTAGTTCCAACCCCCCTGCCACGGGCAGGGACGCCTTTCACCAGACCAAGTTGCAAAATGGTCCTGGTTTGGCCATGGAAATGGAGAACCACCCCGCTCTGCCTCGTGCCAGCTGCTGAACCGATGAGAAAACTTCACTCCAAGTGAAGTTCTACCCGGCCGGTTCTGGTGCCAACACAAACAGAAAGGGTTCAGGGGCTGAGCTCAGACAGCCCCCAGCCAAACCTGCTTCTTCCCTCGGGCATAGTGAGAACAGGGTCCACTGGAAAAGTGCTAAATTACAGTACATTGGCATTTCCATATGTCAACTATTGAACAGCAAAACAGATTGTTTGAAAACAGAATCAGTATCGTACAGTAAGTTCACACTTAATTCTTCACCGTTTCTACACTTGTAACACATGCATTTTATTTCCATTAGTTTAATGCCAGTAGGACCAACATCCTCCAGAACAATGATCTAACATTAAACAAAACTTCCTAAGGAAAATATTAAGCATCACATAAAGTTTCAGGAAAAACCTGTTAATTAGCATCACAAGGTACTCAGATTTACATTTAGGAGTTTTCATGCCATGACTTTTAAAACACCTTTTGGTTAATATCCTGGGGGGTGGGGGAGAAACAAATCCAAATAAAATAACCAATCCAACCCAAAAAAAAAAAAAATTTAAAAAAAAGGAATGTTTTGGGAAATAATATATTTCTCTATCTGTATACACACCCATGGAGACATGCACGTACACGTGGGCTGGTGCATGGGTGTGTGCACAATATATTTTGATAAACTTGACTCATTTCAAGGGCATTTTCATGGGTCCAAAAAGACTTTCAAGGAAACGAACTCTAAACTACCGAAGCAAATTAAAAAGTCTGTCTTGGAGGAACAGAAAAAGTCAGTTCAACATCGTCTGTGTGCTGTCCCAATGCGCTTCCCACGAGCTATCCGAAAACCCAAACAGCTAAAAATTCCTACAAGAGCTTTTTTTTCCCACCTAAAAGGCCCTTCCAAAGCGAGAGGTGCTGTGCTAGGATTTGCATTCGGGCCTCAGGTGTGCCATGCTTAATTCTACCTTCCTAAAGGACAAGATGCCAACTCCAAGGGGCAAAAAACTACAGCTGAGGGGGATCATAAAAACAAAAAATCCTGTTCCACATTCCCCTGTCTCCCGAGCTTAATTTCCAAGGACTAAAGGAGACTGCTGGGCTCACTGGGGGGTGAATTTTCCAAAGGGTTTGCCTATATCCTCGTGACAGCGAGCGGGATGTGGGCTCTGAGTCACTGAGGTGCTTTCTGAAGAGGTTGTCCCCTCAGCTCTATAATTCTGGGGGCTCAGATAGAGCAGCAGCACTGCCTGCTGCTATTTCTTAAAGCTACGTTTGCAGGGATATTTTGGCTGGGGTAAGAGAATAAAAAAAAAAAAACACACAACAAAATCTGGATTCCATTTTCAAGTCCAATGATAGAGGATGCAAGAGCATAATACTTGGGGTTGCTCAAGATTTGTGGTTTTAAACCATCTTCAGTTCCCACTGAGCATCCAAACCCCTCAAGGTGTACTGAAGAAGGAAACCAAGAAAACCAGACACTAAAACAGGGGTTGTTTAGGAAAAATCCTCCACCTGCTGCAGCAAGGAAACCCAACACACCTATTTCTTTTTGTTGCTGAAGGTTATTTCCATCACTTGCTGGGAGTGAAGGAGAAGACATAATTCCCTTCTCTCCATTCAAAACTGAGCGTGCTGTAATGGTGGGGTTTATCCATTAACTTTCACTAGGGAGCAACTCCCATCAAGGAGGATTGCCAGAGAAGGATTTGGATTGACTATGGGCTCGTCAAGGAGGATGAGCAGCAGTCCCAAGTGTGGACACCCCGGTGTGGAGGAGATGTAGCACTCCCACACCCACCGTGATTTATTTGCTGCTGTGAAAACCCACGAGGGTTTTTAAAGGAGCAAAACACCCCCAGCTGGTTGAGCGTGGATAGTCTGGGGCATCAAAATTCGGATTATTCAGCATCCCAGGGATCACCACCCCATTTCAAATCCTGGAGATTTCTGACTACGTTTGCTACAAACTCTACCCTACTTATTTCTTGCTGGCAAGGGAGCTCTGATCCCCAACCTTCCTTACGGAAATATCACAGGAATTTAACAGGAATAGCAATGCATATCCAAACTGCCTCTGAACATGAGAGCCGATTAACTCCTAACAACACTTTCCGAATTCAGCAGCAAACCCCAGGGTTATTATGCTCCATCTTCTAAATCATCTCTAAGTCTTTTTCACTTAAAAACACCTTTTTGCAGCTGAAGACAACGACCAATTCCAACGGCACTTTCAGTGCAGGCACAATGATGGCTTTTATTGCAATGGCTTGAGCGCAGCCTTTATTGGTACCAGAGTCTCAGACTGGTTTGAACTGGGCTGTCCCGTATGGGCTCACCGGGGTCTCGTACCGAACACAAGAGCGTCTGCCCTACACCTCTCACTCTGCTCAATTCCAATCCCATCCCCATCCCTTCTGAGACTCCTCCTGTTTCTTTGGTGTTTTTAAAAGCCATGCGCTCGGGTCTCCGGAGGACCTCGAAGTTTACAGCAACCACGTCTGCCTGGACGTCAGTGACAAAGGTGTCTGTTCTGTTGAGGAAAATTAGCTTGGAGGGGTTAAATTCCCTACTGTAAAGTCTCTAACAGATATGTAATGGAAGTCAGGCACCGGACAGGCGTCCAACACACCTCAAAATTATCTTCTGATGGCCCCTAAGTAATTAACACTGCGCCTAAGAGGGAGAAGAGGTGGGGAAAAGAAAAGAGTTCAGAACTCAGTGCTGACAGTATGTACAAAAGTGCAGTGCTCAATATAGTCCAAAGCAAAGTGACTACTAGTACTTAAAGTGCTAGTTCCGACGTCGGTTTGGTTCAGTGTCCGAAACACGGGGAGAACACGGAGAGGGGGGGGATATCCAGGGAGGGAAATTAAAAACAGACAGCACTGCAACTGCACATGCCACACCAAAAGTGCTTCAAATCACACCATCGCGGAGGGGTGCGTAACGCCACGGCTCAGCTTGTGAACACACACGAGCAAACGACTGACACCTTTTAGGTTACTATAAAGAACAGCTCCATTAACTCCACCACTATGGACCCATTCGGAAAGCAAGTGGTCACAGCGCACGGAAAACAGAAAAACAGCCCCCACTCCGAAACCATGAGCCTTTTGGAACACTTACGAGTCTTTGCAACTAGGATACTCAAAGTCTAGCAAAAGCAGCCCTGCCCAGGGTCTGCAACAAGCTTCGTCGACGCTTATCATGCACGTTTACAGAGGAGCCGTGCAGCAGACTGCCTCCTTTTACACCTACCTTACAGGTTAGCCTATGTACCTATTTATTTGTGGTTTGCTTCGTTAATTGTAGCTTTCTGACTATGCTTTAAGCTGGCTTTTTTTCTCATAACCACCCTACCAGCTGAAGGACAACGAATGCAAGAACAAGACGACAAAGGCGGTCAGGGAAACACTGACATTGCCAACGGCCCGGCTTCATTTTCATGAAGGAAAATGCTCCAGAGAAGGACTTTGGATCAGCATGCTCCTGGAAGGAGGCTGGAAAAGGAGCATTCATCCCAATGGACAACAGACACTTCTCCTTTCTCCCTTTAAACACACACTTACTTAGCCTGTTCCAGCTGCTGGCATCTGCTTTTTTACTAGCCACAAACCCAACCTTTGCACTCACGCTGGAAAAACAAGAGCTCTGCTTGTTGGAAACAGGGGGCAGGAAATCTCCTGCTAAGGACTGTGCTGGTCCCAGTCCTCACCCTGGGCTGGAAGCAGCTCCTTGCAAGCTGGGACGTGCTCCAGCAGTGCCCTCCCATCCCCTTACCTCGGGAGCTAAATGCTTGCAAAAATACTTTTCTCCCAAAAGTGCCACATGGAAAGGGGAAAACCAGATCTTCAGTTCTCACTACATTCCTGTAGGCACCCCCGAAAAAGGTCACAGCACAGCAAAGTGGCTCCCCAGGCCCCACCACAGGCGTCGCTGCCAAATCTCCAAGGGGTTGTACAAGGCAACATCTGGCTGTGCAACATCTGGTGCATCTGAGGCGGGCATGGATCATTTTTATGGAGAAAGCTCTTTTTAAGTCAGACATATCGACTTGCTGGAGCTGGCAGGATATGCTGGGGATGCTGCAGGTATAGCTGCAGATGTGTTCCTCATCAGAGATTAAGCACTAGGGAGATTGTTTTCCAGAAGCAGGGAACATTAAAGGAGAGCTACAAAGCCAGGTCACTTCTTTCCACTACTGCCAAAAAGAGCTGGATTTAAAAAAGCAAAAAGCACGTTCTTGCATACAGGGGACATGGATGTAGATCCAACTTTGCAGGCATATAACTGGAAAGAAAGGAGCCTGGAAAAGACATGGGAGCTGGAGGAGTGCAGTGTGAGATTGGCAGTGCCCCTCAGAGAGGGGGGCAGAGGGGAAACACAACCAACTCAGTCCACCATTCAGATAACAAACTGCTGGAATGATATATCCAGTCTTGTTGCCAAAGCAGCAAGGTCTGGGGAACGTACACAAGAGCGTGGATGTGGCCATGATTCCGCCAGATATTTTCCCCCTTTGCCATAGGTAGGCACTGGGATAACATTTGGTTTAAGTACCATTGACCTCAGCGCTGAGACCAAACCCAAACACTGAACGCACAGACAATTACCAGCCTGGAAACTCCCCTGCCAAAATCACTCCTTCTCCAGGTCTTTTTATAACATGCTCTTTCCTGCCTTCCGGTTGAAAGGATTTCTGGCAGATGATTTGGAAGTGGCTAATAAATCTAACGCTAGGACGTCGCGTCCAATTGCACAGTAATTTCCTGCGCTGCTCTCACAAGGAAGTTTACACGTTTTTGCTGCTTTAGTTTCTCCTATGGACACACCGGTGGCCATGTCTGACACTCCTTACAATTCTGCCTCCTCTTGCCTGGACTGGCAACCCTGTTAAATTTTTAAGAAGAAAAGCTATTACAGGTTTTTCAGGAGAAAAAACCGCCTGCTTTGCCCGTGACCTCGCCTCCAACCCAAGCTCTGGAATTCAAAGGCATTCGTAAAACCCCGCTTCAGATTTTCGTCTAAATATCCTTGGCAACTTTTCCAGCCTCCAACAAACAACTCATTTGAAAGTTTATTAGGAGCAACGATTTATTTCTGGAAGTGGAGGCTTTTGCTGTGCCGAAGCCTGCAGACACCCCTGAGCTGATTTTCAGCGGTGAATGAAGTGATTCCCAGGCACAGCCTATTCCCAAGGAAAACGCCATCCCAGATCACTCCGTACCAGAGGAACTACAGGGCGAACTGGAGATGCGGGGCCATTTTTAATTCTATGCTAATTATCACAATAAAAACCAGATCCTGCAGCGGAAGGCCGATTCCAGGAAGAAATAATCATCCATCTTTTGTAGCTGGAGCCGTGCTGCTCGAGAAGAAGCTTATTTACAAAATGGCAATCTCCAGAAAAAGGCTGTTATCGTTGCCTGACAAAGCCATATATTCTGATTCCTTCTGTGGGGGGGGGGGCTCTGCCTGGGAAATTCCACTTTGAATCCAAATGCTATAAACCTCAAATATGGAAAAGCCACATCCCATCCAACAGAAACCAGCTGTGGGGCTGATGCAAGCCACTGTACCACAGAAATGATGCTTGGAGATCCCTGCTTGGAAAACCCTGCGTTCAGTTTAGAGCAGGAAAATCATAGGACCTCTCAAGTGTTTATATGTGAGAAGATGCTGTTAATGAAAGCATCAATGGTGTGTAAACAGAAATGAAATTCCTAAAGCAGAATTTCTGCATTTTGTATGGTTACTTAAATGTGGGTAAGGAGCATCATTTTTCCCCACCAGGATGACATGAAAGTGCCATTTCTTTGTATGCAGAAAATTTAAAAAAAACCCCAAAAACCAAAACCAATAACCCAAACATGAACCTGCAGAGTAGTTGTGATAGGGGTGAAAAACCCCAAACAAGTAGCAGGATTGCAATCAGTTCCTGCTCCCCCCACATCCTGCCTTAGTCCCTGAAGAGGCTCTAACAGCAGATTGCACTGCCAGACTATCTCACAGAGATGGGAACCTGCACTTTGGGCCACAGCCAAGCCAGACCCCGAGCGCCTTTTTCCTTGACTGCCAAGATGCAGTCTTCCTCAAAGAGCTGCTTCCACCTGGGAATGCCAACACTGCCAGCTCGCTACCCACAGAAAGGGCTCTGCCCTGCATTCTCCATCTCTCCTCGCTGGGTATCCACACGCATCCAAGATGCCCGTGCCCAGCATTACCAGGCACGCTCGTGGGGAGCGGCAGAACAGCTCCGATACATCGCCCCGCTGTAATGATGGAGCCTGAAGACGGGAACATTGGACCGCAGGGACGGCATGTTGAAAGCAAAACATTTTATTACCATCGGTTAAGCTTCATAATGCACACTTATGAGTAAGAGAGAGGTTATATGGAGATCACTTTGCTCCCTACCAACTGCAGCTTCTGGGATTAAATGCAGCAGCTGTTGAGCGGAGCGTAACGGGACCAGTGCAAAGAAAAGGAGAATAAAATACATTTGAAACGGCGGGGGGGTAGCTTGGCAGAAAACGGGCCCCTGACTTGAAATTCAAAGAGAAAGCTTTTTTTTTGTTGTTTTGTTTTGTATTTTTTTCCAGCTGTACCAAAAGCCACAGCGTCCTAGACAACAGCTGGTCACCAAGCACTGCTCTGAAAACCAACTCAACACCCACCTCAGCGTCTCCCACCTGGTACGGGCATCGCGGCTCAGACACAGCACAGGAACACCAGAGGGGACCGCTTTTCCTTGGGGGGGCACGACACCTCTACAGCCAATGGATCGAGCACAGGGGCAAAGCAGGATGCTGCAAAAACAGGAGCTCCTGTCTAATCCCACCCACGCGGGTGCCTACAGGAAATTCTGGTGGCCATGGAAGGCAGAAAGGTGCATGACAGCTGGGATCTATCCCGGATTCAGGGACAGTGCAAGGCTTGCCTGGGCTTGACTCACATGTGTGATTTTTGGTTTGTTTTCTGTCTGTTTCCATGCAATGCTTTTGACAGTAAACGCCAGCCTGAGATGGTTTCTAAAGAACACAAGTTTCTTACAGCAGAAACTGCCCCTTCAATCTAAGATCAAAAATCCAGTTATCTTTCCTAGAGGTCAGAGGTCATAGAAAAGCTATTTTGGACCATCCACTAAAGAGTCACTGATACAGTTTAACAGCACCAGCTTTTTTAGCCCAAATCAGTTTACCTTCCAGCCAATCTTCCACAAGCAGCTTCAAATTGCATCAAACCCTATCCAGAGGAATGCTCTGATCTCCCCTTTCCCAATATTACAGCTCTCATTTCACAATAGTTTCTGCATTCAAACCAAATTCAAAGGAGAAAATGCCTTCACTAGTGAAAGAGGACTCCAGCTACTGCTAGCACAAAACTACCAATTTTTCTTCTTCTAGCAAACAAACCACTTGGCTAGAAAGGTGGGAAGCTCTTGGAAGACTGAAAGCCTGGAGGAGGCTGGTGTTTAGGCTGAGACAAGTGAAAACTCCCCATGACTTGGCCTCTTGCTTGTTCTGTTTTGCACAGAATCTTCAGCCTCGCCGAGGGAAAGAGACCAGTATGGGTTTTGAGAGAGCACCTCAAGGGCTTATTGCAACAGCTCAAGGGCTGCAGTGTGGAGGAGGAGGAGGATGAACCTCACTCTGTGGGAAGCCTGAGAAGGG